ACATAGCAGGTGTTTTTCCCCAGAAATCCCTGCCTGCTCCCTAGTGTGAGCCAGGAGTGTAAGACAGGATGAAGAGTCAATGCTCCACACTATTGCCTGGGATCTAGAGCCTCAAAATAGAGGCTGTAACTTCCTGGGGCTTGAAAGATTACACATCACAGCCGAAGCCCGACCCCAAAACATTAGATACTGTCTCAATTGTGTAATGCAGGTTACTCATTTCTGCACATCCTCCTCTCAGCATATCGCAGAGGTAAATGCAGGCCTCCTACCAGCCCAGCTCGTGGCACTCACCTACTTTCTGCCATTCTCAGTCGCTCATCCTCAAGCCACTCCGTTCATGAATGAATAAAACCTGGGTTCAGTCCTAGATTGAGGCCTTTGTTCCAGATAGCCATTATCATGGCTGGACTTAGGACCCCTTGGTACCCCATAACTACAGATATGCCTTAGAATCTTTATTCTCACCGTGGGTTGCACTAGGTGTGACAGATTGGAATTAACTTTACAGGATTCCAATAATTTATACGTGGGATTACAAATGTAAAGTCCCTAGATTGCAGTGAGGACTAGGAAGAGCTGAGTGACCATGCAACAAGCCATGCAGCCCACAGTACCCTGCCTCCAGTTGTCAGTACCCTAAATGTCCAGGAGAAACACTTTACAAGTAGACAGACAGGAGGATGTAGGAAAGACCAGGCTGTTGCCATGCAGAGGTAACTGTCCAGCTGTGAGGGAATGGCCCCAGAGATTGTAGAGGCTAGCTTCCCTGTGTGTCCCTGGTGTTCCAAGCGAGCCTCCACACCAGCTGACGGAAGGTGGGACGAGCAGCACCTGTGTGCACACTGCACCAGTGCACCCTCCATTACCAGGCAGAGGCTGATGAGCACGGACCGGTTTGCTGGGCCCAAGGGCTCTGGCCACGAGCTATTCACACCTCAGCCCTTAGAGCCACTGAGGACAGCGCTTGGCGTCTGACTGAAGACAGGCAAGCCAGAGTCAGGGTCTCGTGGCTTCCCAGCCTGTGGTTCTCTGTCCCCACACAGCCCTTGTGAAGGCCATGCTTTCTACACAGAAAACAGGGCCAAAGGGCTCGCCACCACAGCTCTGCTCCATCTCCTACCAAAGCAAGTCTTTCAGTGGGAATTTTATACTTTTCAACTGGCAAAAGCTGTGTCACCACTTTCCTGCTCTTAGAAAATTTTAAGTTTTCCTTTTAATGATATTCTTCGTTCTCAGTGCAGCTGTCAAGACTTAGGTGCCTGAGTATGGCTCTCACAGCCAAGACCAACAGCAGGGCATGCAGGTACAGGCGACTTCCAGATGGTGGCATCGAAGACCCCAGGCAGGCACTGTGTGCAGCTTGATGATCCCCCAACAGAAAGCATGTGACAATTCTCAACTTTGAAAGAACCTGACAGTGACAGAAGAGTCACTTACCTGAAATGAGCTGAGTATAATGTCATCCCACCTGTAACAGTTGCTACACTGTGTCAACCTGAGAAGTCTAGAAGTTTAAGTTACTCAGCAGGGAGCCTGGGTCCTGACTGTAAACATCCTCATCCTGTGCAACAGGAGGGCATGCAGATGGTCTGAGTGTTACAACTCAGGGGCTGCCTGCTTATAATAGAAGGGAGGAAAAGAGATTTGTTCTGCCCCATTTTTTCGTTACTATTTTTACTGTCTTCTGCCACCTTGAAGTATTGGCCCTGTGCCATGCCACCCTGCCTTGGTGTCCACTAATTACAGACTGAAACCTCCACAAACTATAAGCTAAATTTTAACCTTTCTTTCCTTAATTTTGGGCATCAGGTATTTTCTCAGCAATGAGAGAAAAGTAACCAACAATGGCAAGATACTGGGCTGGGGAGATGGCTCAGTAGGATAACCGCTTGACTGGCAAACTTAAGGATCTGAGTTCAATCCCCGGTTCCGCCAAAAAAAAAAAAAAAAAAACAAGGCAAGATACCACCCAATGCTTGCTGCAGGATCTAGGCTCCATGACCAGAAGCAGCAACCTTGCAGGAGCAGGAAGAGCCACACACTGCAGTCCAAATGTGCCTGACAGCTGTGACATGCGCTGGCCTGCTTGACAGAGGCCCTTGCATCTTCAGAGGTCAGTGAGCCCTCAGGTGGGTCTCTGGCACCAATAAACAACCTCAGGGCTATTTCAGATGTTTTTTAAACAACTATGAGAGATATGCAGAATCATTGCCTCTCTCTTCAGGACCTGTGCAGGTGTTGCAGTTGGCCTGGACATTGGGTCGTCAGATGAAAGATGACACTAAGAACCAGACTCAGTGAACAGCTAAAGCACACAGGTGAGGAGACACAAAATGCCCTGCCCTTAGGCAACAAGAAAACAACAGGAGACCAAGAAACTCACATGGAAACTTGAGTGTTACCTCAGGAGGTCAGCAGTTAGCCTGGAGCCAAGGGAAACCCCACTGCTAGGGATACCAGTCTAAGGCTGTCTAGTGTGGCTGTACACCTCCCACCGGAACATCTGCACCTAAAGATAGACAGAGGTTATGGGCCACACCTGAGAATCAAGTTCATATAGGAACTGGTCAGTAAGAGGCCTCTGCCTCCCAAGGACTTGTTTCTAAGCAGCACCTTTCCAAAAGATGAGTAACAAATGATTAGGTAAAAATGTATCATGGCTGGGATGTTCCTGTTTTTCAACTAGATGTGCAAGGTAGAAACTTAGGACTTGAACCTCAGCGAGACACCCCAACGACTGAGCCTAGAGCACAGGTAGATGTGGCAGCAGGTGCCCAGTCACCCTGACAGCTTGGCCAGCAGCTCAGATATGCAGAGACATCTGGACCATGCAACATGAAGCCATTTACTTATGAAAACACAGTCTGCACCTTAAAATGAGGTTTACAAGGTCAGGAAAGTGCCATTAGCGCTAGGTGCTCAAGGCAAGTTTCTGTAAGGGGTGACAAGAATCATGCAGAGTACCAAAAGATGAAGACAAAAACTACTTTTATTTTTAAAAACTTCAGCATTAAGGTGGAACCTGCATTTCCTGAAGACAGTCACAGAACATTGCAGGGCACTGGTGCCCAGGGCCACAAGTATTCACAGCTTTCCCAGAATCATAGCCGCATCTGCCCACTGGCCCAGTCTGCTCAGCGTAAACACAAGATTCACTTTGGTAAGTCCTTTCAAGAAAAGGGATTTCTCCTCACAGCACACCAATAAATATTTACACTAAAAACCAGACATAACAGAAGAAAAAAGTCATTGTTTTCATTAATCTTTATAGACAAATTCCATTCACAGTGTATATGCCAATCCCAGTCTGGCAAGGTCTTCATCTCTGGCAGGACAGCATGGAGGCCCCTAGCATGTGCACCAGAATGTTAGTGAGACACTGCAGGCACTTAGCGTCCCACCAGAGGCACAGTGAGGGCAGCCAGCTGCTGACCCCAAGGGAAGCATTTATATCCTCACACACTCAAGGTCAGCCCTCACTCGCTACTGCAATAGAATGCCTGTGTAGGTCCTAGCATGCTGAGTATCTGTGCCAGCCAAGGAATATTTCTCTGGGGAGAAGGGAGGTCACAGTCATGTATCCAGCTGTGTACCTGAGGTTACTTACAATTTCCTGACTCAGCTACTGTAGTAACAATCATAAACTCCTCTGTATCATTAAACAAAATGCTCACAATTTCAAAGTTACAACAAATTTTTATTTAAATACCACTTAAAGCATGTTCCCCTTTCAAGGCTTAGTAAGTAAACTTCTTTTTCTGTTTTAAAGGGGGATGGATGGATGGATGGATGCACTGGTGGATGGATGGATGGGTGAATGGATGGATGGATGCACTGGTGGATGGATGGGTAGATGGGTGTATGGAAGGATAAGATAGGTGGACAGCCAGCTATATTAGATAAACTGATCAAGTAAATTTGTCTTGAAGAATACAAACAAGCACTCTGACACACTGCACTGTGCTCAACCAGCAGGCTCATTCAGTTCTCCCAAAGAAGCACTGGATAAAATAGGTAAATAAAACAGCACAAAAAGACCCAAGGATGGGCTTTTCTTTCTTTTCTTTTTTTTTTTTTTTTTTCTGTTTTGACTTTGTGTTTGTTTTGTTTTCCCCAGGAAGAGAATATACAGTATAACTGGAGCATTTTTCTTTTTAAACAAAAATACTTGTATCTAACCACTTTTTCCTACAATAGGTATCTGCATACCTGCTGTTAAAAGCTACTCTTTCAGACACAACCAGTGCCGCGTACACAGAGGCTACACTGGGGACAGCAGCAGGTCTACAGAGACAGGCAGAGTATGGTGCTGTCTAGTCAGCCCCAAGCTGTCTATAGGGAAAACACTTCCTGTAGGTCTCAAGTCAATCACAGTATCTTATTTCAAAAAACTAAACACCTGGGAATAATACAAAAGAGGCACTTCAGTGTAGAGTTTTAACTGTATACATAACAAGTTAACATTTTCAAAAAAAATTACAAATGACTAAAATTCAATAATATTTCTTTAATCTTTGAACTAAAAATGCAAATTTTTGAAGGAAATAAAGAGTATTTAAAAGTCCAGAAGAAATAATAAAATCTAAAAAAAGCAAGGTTACCATCAAGTGCACCTGAGACTGCTCCATCTGCAATGGCAGACACACACCGGAGATGCCACTTGACCCTCCAATGTCACCTATGCTTCTCCAGGAACTTTGTCACATATTTCTAAAGCTTTAGTAAGATACAGTTTAACTTGCAAGTTAAACAGAATTTAGCATAACCCTAGAAAGACTCATCGTGCCTCCAGGGCTGCAAGCTCCTACTGGCAGAAGAGGGTGGCACAACTAGCGAGGGCATCACGACGGCCGTGTCCAATGCAGACGTCCCAAACAGACCTGTAGCTGAGGAAAGCATGGAAATATCTGCAGCCAACTGCAAGGCATTGTGGGCTGACATGAAAATTCACATATCCAGGCTCAACAAACATGGACCGCAGTGGGTAGACATTCCATTTAAGGCAACCAAACACAAACCTGCATGGTAGCCAGTGTGTGGCCACAGGGCATCAGACAGGAAATGCGGCAGTGGTTTCCTACTGTACTGTTGGAAGCTTTGACAACTGAACAGGGTGAAGAGGAGAGTACCGGGCCTGGAAAACCTGAAAGCTTATGCAGTGGTGGCATGAGGTCTGCACACACTTGGCACCATGGCTTGCCTTCTCACTCCACATCGTCTGGGGTGTCTGTCAGGTGACCCTTGCTCTGGCGCCGGATGCTGACCGGCTTCCCTGCTGAACGCAGGCTCCAGCGAGAATTGGCTGCTGGGCTAGACAGGCTGGTGTACTTGCTGGAGCCCTTTGTATCACCCTCCCAGCCCGACCAGCACTGGTGGTCACTTGCAGTGTCCCTTGTATCAGGTGCTGTGTCTTCTAAAGCAACTCTTGGAGGTTCCCAACCTTCAATCTCATCTGGTTTCTTAGACTGTGTGTTCTGTTTCAAAACCAAATTGTCCCAAAATCCAGATTTCTTCTCTGACTTCAAGTCTTCTTTTAATCGTAAGTTAGTTCTGTAGGACATAAAAGAGTTAAATGTTTGTAATCCAATGTTATAAATCTGTTAATTTTATAAAGTTCCCATCTAAAACTGTTAAACTACATAAAAGCTAACATGCACCTATGTGTAAACATTTTAAATAAATACTAAAGTTTCATAAGGAAAAATTAGTCACTACCGATAGTTAATGAAGCTTTTATAAGCCATACTTGGGATACTTCTCTTAGGCAAAGACTCAATCCTCAGGTACGAGATCTGAAAGTGTTAATAGGGATCTGGGTTCATGGGCTGGGGATGTAGCTCAGTGGTATAGCATCTGCCTGGCAAGTGCAAGGCCCAGAGTTCAACTCCCATACCAGAAAGAAAAACAGGAAAGAAAATTTTTTAAAAAAAAGTCCCTGATAAAAAGGATCTGGGTTCAACCCCCTACAGCACCTTTCCTTAAAAAAAAAAAAAAAAAAAAAAAAAAAAATAAAAAACCACCTATTTTAGAGCATATTGATATAATTAGGTACATTTGCCCAAAAGGTAAGTGACATTTAAAAAAAAAAAAAAAAAAAAAAAAGCTTCAAAAATGTCAAAATGAAAGAGCAAAAGGCAATCTCAGACCTCTATTCCACCCAGAACAAGTCCAAGAGACAAGGACATAGAGAAACTTGGAAGTTACACACCTGAAATTTTGGAAATGATAGCAACTAAAGTAAATTAACAACTCTATCAGGCTATAAAAGAAATAAGATCACAAATAATCTCAGGTAAAAAAAGAAATGACAAAAATCATTAACAAATTGTTCAGTGCATCTAAAGAGGATAAAGACTTTTCCGGTTGCGGCACCACATGGTAAGGAGCTCTACAGTCTGCACTAGCGACCATGCTGTCTAAGGGTCTGCTGCAGTCCCTGAAGTCTTCAATCACAAGAAGACAGCCACACCATGGCACACTGCAACCAGGGCAGTGGCCTCATCAAGGTGAACAGGGGTCCCTGGAGATGACTGAGCCACACACACTGCAATATAAGTTACTAGAGCCTGTTCTGCTTCTGGGCAAGGAGCCGTTTGCTGGTGTTGACATCCGTGTCCGTGTGAAGGGTGGCGGTCATGTTGCCCAGATTTATGCTGTCCGTCAGCTCATCTCCAAAGCCCTGGTGGCCTATTACCAGAAATATGTTGATGAGGCTTCCATGAAAGAGATTAAAGATATTCTCATCCAGTGCGACTGGACTCTGTTGGTAGCTAACCCCCAACACTGCGAATCCAAAAAGTTTGGAGGCTCATTACCAGAAATCCTACCGATAAGCTCACCATAAGAATCACCATTGGCCTTTGTAATACACATGGGATTTTGAGGTTGCAAGGAAAAATAAATAAATACATAAAAATTAAGATGATATGGATTTATTTTATTTTTTATTTTTTATTTTTTATTTTTTTGGTGGAACCAGGGATTGAACTCAGACCCTTGCGCTTGCCAGGCAAGTGCTTATTCTACTGAGCCATCTCCCTGGCTGGAGGATATGGATTTAAAAAAATAGTACAAAAATGATGGAAATTTTTTTTGTTTTGTTTTGCTTTGTTCATTGAATGAACAAGAGGAAAGAATTAGAATGCATGGAACAGATACAAACATATCTAGGAAAATAAGAATTCCACTGAAAGACAGCAAAATCATTTGAGTGAAACTGAAGATAAGGGCCAGCAAAATAGCTCAGTGGGTTAAAGTGCCTGCAAGCAGGTGCAGAGGCGGACTGTGCCGGCTCCACCCCCAGGGTGTGCTGAGAAGACTACTGAGACTGGAAGTGGTGGCTAGCACGCCTGTAATCCCAGCTCTTGGGAGGCTGTAAACAGGTGGATCACTATGAGCCTGATCTAGTAGTGAGACCCTGAACACCCTGCAGATTCTTCCCTAAAATATATATATAAAAAAAGAAAGATAGAAACTGAAGATAGTCAGATTTTGAAGATAGCATTGCAGCTAGTGAACATGAAAGGAAAGATCTCTTTAAAAGTAACAAGGAACCAGGAAATAACAATTCAACAGCTGCAAGATGATGCAAAGAAAACAACGAAAGACTGACAGATGACAACAAAATAGGGGTCAACAAAAATGACATAAAAAGACTGCAGAAGTAGAAGCACAAAGTTTCCCAAGCATGGGGAAAGCATTGAACATACACATGAGTTAGGTATATAGAACTCCAGTTAGCAATAACCAAAATAAATGTACACCCAGACACATAATAATAAATATCCAAGAAATTCAACAAAAGAACAGAATATTAAAAGCTATTAGAGAAATGAAGCAGATCACCTATGATGGAAAGTGCATCAGCATCACAGATTTCTCAACACAAACAAGAAGTCAAGAACTTGAAGTATTTCAAGTCCTGAAAGAAAACAACTTCCAGGGGCTGGAGAGATGGCTCAGTGGTCTAAAGCACCTACTTAGAACAAGCTTAGCAAAGCATCGGGGACCGCGGTTCAATCCCCCAGCACCACATGCCAGCCAGCCCCGCCCCCTGGTGGGCTGAGCTGGCCACACTCTCTCTCTCTCTCTCTCTCTCTCTCTCTCTCTCTCTCTCTCTCTCTCTCTCAAATAAATAAAAAAAAATTTTAAAGAAAAAAAAAACAACTTCCAACCCAGATTGATGTAACCTGCAAAACTATCTATCAAAACTAATAGATAAGATACTTCCATGACTATAGTGGATTTCTCACTGGTGGTCAGCTTATTACACCCAGCTGAATAGAACCAGCATGGTGCTGGGTGCAGGAGGCCCCACCTGAGGGCTGAGGGCTGTTGCCAGTAGCATAAAGGCAGACCAGGAGAAGCTGCCAAAAACGCTGTAACTACATGCTTATTAGGGAAAACTGCAAGAGGAAGAGATGAGAACCATAAATATATATGTACCCAATAAATGAGCACCAAAGTAAGAAATTTTAACATGTTTAAAATCAAATGAGTAGGGGCTGGTGAGATGGCTCAGTGGTCTAAAGCACCTACTTAGAACAAGCTTAGCAAAGCACAGGGACCGCGGTTCCCCCAGCACCACATGCCAGCCAGCCCTGCCTCCTGGTGGGCTGAGCTGGCCACACACACACACACACACATAAATAAATAAATAAAATTTTTAAAAAATCAAATGAGCAATAATACAGTTGTAATGGGGGACTTTAACACCCCACTGTTACAAAGAGATGGATCAACTCGGCAAAAAAATCAGCAAAGAAATAACACAAACCAAATTTGTGAAAAAATGGACTTAGTAGACCTTTACAAAGTGTTCCAACCAAAACATCAGAATACACATTCTCAGGGGCACACAGGACATTATCCAAAATAGAGCACATGTGAGCACATACAACATGCTTAAGTAAGTGCAAGGGAACTGAGATAATCCCATACATATTATCTGACCATAGTGTAATGAAACTAGAAGTTACTGACAGAATAAATAACAAAAAAATACAAATGGCAAATATATGAGAAATCGTATTCATCAACGTCATTCAACATCATTCATCTGTCATTTGAGAAATGTAAATTAAAACAACACTGAGATTTCATTTCAACCCAAAAAGAATGACTAGCATCTAAACGCCAACCAACAACAAATATTGGAGGGGATATGGGGAAAAAGGAACTGTTTTCCGCTGTTAGTAGGAGTACAGCTTGGTACAACCACTAGACAAATCAAAGTGGAAATTCCTCAGAAATCTAGGATTAGAGTTCCCATTTAATGTAGCTGTTCCTCTCCTGGCTATTTTTCCAGAACTGCGACATATGTGCACCCATGTTTATAGCAGCACAATTTGTTCTAAAGCTTGGAAACAACCCAAATTCCCATCAATTAAAGAATGGATTAAAAAAGATGTGGTATTTTTATACAATGGAATATTATTTAGCTATGACAAAAGATAAACCTAAGGCATTTACAGGTAAATGAACGCAACTAGAGACCATACTCATAAATGAAATAAGTGAGACCCACACGTATAAGCATTGTACTCTATCGCTAGTATAAGAACCTGAATAAATAAAAGAGGTATAATAGATCCTGTGAAAGGGAAATAAACTGTTCAAAGGCAAAGAACAACTGAGATGAAGGAAAGGAGGAAAGGAAGAGGAAAAAAAATATATATGTATATACACAGGATAGCTTGGATAATTGTACTGCTGATTTCTGCTGGTCTATTGAAAGGAACAGTTAATGCTTAAATTTTTTTTCTCTCTCCTTTTTAACTTTTTTGGGCCAATTTTGCATGCTTGATTTTCTTTTTTCTTTTTTTTTTTTTGTATCAGGAATTGAACTCATGACTTTGCACTTGCCCAGGTAGGTACTGTGCCACTGAGCTATATCCCCTTATTCCAATTTTGCATGCTTTTAGCTGATAATCTGAACTAATTTGAAGACAACAATATAAATTCTATTATTGTTGAATTTCTATTATTTTATTAAATGAAATTCTGTATCGTGGGCTGGGGCAACAGCTCAGCAGCATAAGCACCTGCCTGGAATGCTTGAGGTCCTGAGTTCAATCACTAGTACCACAAAAAAAAAAAAAAAGAAAGAAAGAAAGAAAGAAAGAAAGAAAGAAAGAAAGAAAGAAAGAAAAAGAAAGAAATTCTATATCATTTCTAATAGGTTTCTTTTTTCCTTTTTTCACTATTTTTTATCAGCTTTAAAAAGCAAGATAAAAACAAGAAAGGTTGCTAGTAACTAGCAAAGCTAGGATTTAAATCAAGGCTATGTGATCCATCTCTGGAACCATTAACCCTAAGATGTACTAAAATTTACTATTATTCTTATGTCAACCAAAGAATTTGGTGATGTTGATCCAGTCCAAGGACCTCCCAGTTTTTCACTTACTGACTAAAACTCCTGAACATTTTATATGTATATATTCAAGTCAGGAGCAACGACAAGTGCCTGAAATGCTGGCGGTTAGGAGGCTAGGTATGTGGATTGCAGGTTGAGGACGGACCTTTCAAGGCCATATAAAGGGAGTGCTCAAGCATCCAAGCAAACCACACTTAAAATCCATGGTCTAGATTAGGGAAGAAGGGGTAGACTCCATTTAGCGAGTAGGTTTTCAATAGGACTACTCATAGCAATCTAGTCTCAAGCATTTGGTAAGTACACAACAAAAACAAGAATTCAGAACATCTCTATTATAAAAAGAAAACACAAAAGCATGTGCTTGCTGCCGTGGGCCATCCATGACAAGCTCTCAGAACATCGTGAGAAACGTGGAGTCCACGCTTCACTCCAGAGGTGCTACTGTGTCAGCAGGTCCCTGGAGCCAAGGGGACTAGATTTGCTTAATCGTCCAGGGATGAAGGGAACAAGCAAAGTCAGTGCTCCACTACCGAAAGCAAGGCACTGCATCTTCCCTCGGTGCGGAGGGGCCCAGACGCACAGACGTCGTGGTGCTGACAGAAGGAATCCACCTGCAGCTCATCAAGATAAGCCTTCTCACCCAGCCTGTGTTCTCAGGTGTGCTTGCAATGATCACAATTGTTCCTTACAAGGACATTTCAGAGATTGGGCCTTTGAAAACCTATTGGATATAAAGGTGCTAACTAACCTAACCAATAGATTAATCTACTGATAATGCACAGCTGAACTGGCAGTTGGGCAGTGGAGGCATAGCTGAAGGGAGTGGGTCCCAAGGGCATGCCCTTGGAGTTTCCATCTTGTCCCAGCCTCTTCCTCCCTGGCTCTTTTCCTCTCTGCTTCCCGGCCATCGTAAGATGTGTAGCTTTCCTCCTCCACATGCTTTCACCACCATGATATTCTGCCTTTACCATGGTTTGAAATGCAGTCGAGCCAGAAATGCAGAATGCAAGGTTTACTGGGTCCTGGACACTTCCACTCCGATTTCAAAGGAAGGTCTGGGAAGCTGGGAAATACATAGACACCCTATGGGAAGCCTTAAGAGGGCAATATGTGAAGTTTTGGTAGTGAAGGGGAAGCTGCAAAGAGATGCCAGGAATGTCTGCCAAGGAGAGCCAGCCCAAGAAGCCACGTGGACTGCAGTGGACAAGCCCAAAAGAGAGAGTGCACAAGTCCTTTGGAGCTCACATCATAATTCTTGCCCCAGATGCTGGACATGGAGCTATAAGACTTAATGCTTTCCCTGCTGGGTCTCCATACTGGCTTTGGACCAATTCCTCCTTGTTTTTTTCCTATTCCTCCCTTCAGAATGGGAGACTGAACTCTGCCATTACAAGTTGGAAGCATATGACTTTTTATTTTTATAAAGTCTCACACAAAGGTTGCTTTGAGTCTCAGAGGAAACTCTGGACTTGGGACTTTTGAGCAATGTTGAAGCTGTTAAGACTACAGGAGACTCTTGGAGATAGATTGAAAACATTTTGCATGATGAGGAGGACAGTTGTGGTGACGTTACCCCAAAGGCTTGTACGCCTACAGGTGGGGCTCTTGGGAAGAGGCTGGATCATAAGGACACTAACTGCATAAATGCACTGGGCCATGGTTGAAATCACAGCTGAATGGCTCATGGGCAGATGGGGCCGAGCTGAAAGGAGGGGACCTGGCCGGCCCTTGGGGACTGTGTCCTGTCCTCAGTTCCTGCATCTTAGACTCATTAATTTCTCACTCAGCTTCTAGCTGCCCCAAGGCAGCAGCTTTCTCCACCAAGCCCTTCCATCATGTTCTGTCTTGCAGCCAGCGGACTAAGGCCTAAAACCCTGAGCCAAAATCCATGGTTCTTTCTTAAGCATTTGGTCAGAGCAATAAAAGCAGACTAACAAGAGGTACCAACACTACAAGGCAGCTCATGACTTTATTTCCTACTTCAAATGCACTTTTTAACATTGTACAATATAAAGTGGCAGCAATGCATCAGTTTAAGTTGATTTCATTTTCTAAAATCATTTATGATTTAGCATTCAACCTTATTTAACAGTTTTTCTTATAGTCTGAAAGTAATAAAAATTTTAAATATGGGCTGGTGAGATGGCTCAGTGGTCTAAAGCACCTACTTAGAACAAGCTTAGCAAAGCACAGGGACTGTTGTTCAATCCCCCAGCACCACATGCCAGCCAGCCCTGCCCCCTGGTGGGCTGAGCTGGGCACACACACACACACACACACACACACATAAATAAAATTTAAAAAAAAAGAAAAAAATTTTAAATATGACTATAGTGTGTCTTAAGGCCAATAAGTTCAATTTTAAATTCTGTTGTTTTTTTTTTTAAACTTTTCTATAATGTTTCAAAATGCTTGTGGCCCACAGGAGTATTCACCAAGGGTACATTTTACTTTCTTTGTCTCTAACACTTCCAAAAGTACAGATTTCTGTGTAGTAGCAAGGGCAAAACTCAGTCACCTCACAGACAAAGTAGGGTCTGCTGTGCCTGGGGATGGGCAAGGCCTCTCCAAGGGCCCTGGCAGCTGCTGCACTGCAGCTGTCTTCTCCCCTCTCCCTGCCATCCTCCCTCTCATGAGATGAACACTTGCTTTACATTTGTGACTTACCCTTTGGACTTGGGAGATTTACATCTTTCAAGCAGATGTTGTTCATCATCTTTATTAAACAGAGAAGTCACATCTTTCCAACCTCGGAAACTTGTTCCCTGGACCTAACAAAAGGTTAAGAAAAATGTCAAATCTGATGTAGTAAATCAATAGATTTGTTTTCTATTCCAGTGAGATTGGTGTTATGTAGATAGGAGTGAGGTCTGGGAGAGGCGTTAGCAGGCAATTCAGTTACACAGACAAGTGTGCCAACACAACCAAAGAGGTCCAGCCTATCCACATCTCCGTGTGTGGTAGGCTTCCACCCCAGGGCCATAAGCACGCTAAAACAATGAGGAAAAACACAGAATGGCAACTACGGAACCTGGGGCTGCAGTCACACATCAAGTGTTATGAGGCTACCATCATCATCATATGGGCTATACTTGGTACAAGCGGTGTCTTCGCAAGCCCTTGGAGCCTGTGGAGCTATGACACTACGATGACTGTGGAAACACTAGGGCACCATCTGGTAGCAGGGCCACTGCTGACCACACGGCTACTGCTAAGGCTGCCTCTTCCCTCCTCAGGTCTCCACACACTAAAATCTGCCTGTCAGCCCCCTCAGATGGTGATTGATGGTCCTACCTGCTTGTCCAGGCTGCTCAGGGGCCTACATCTGGTAATATACTAGTCAACGATCCCATTTTCATTAAAATAGGTTGGGACAATGAGGGTTAGGGTCAAACGAAGCTTCCAATACAAGGAGCAATCAGGTCTCTAATGCTTGAGCCTGCTGTGTCTGGCTGAATCCCAGGCATTCTCTATACCCCTCACGTTTCAACACCTGTGAGGGATGCTGCCCCTTGCGCTCCCCTCCACAAATACAGGAGTCTGCGAAGAATCTGAACAGATTATTTTATAAAATCTCCATTTCTGAAATCTTAGCATGTTATAATTAATGCCACCTTACATCTATAAAATACTTCAGGTGTTTTGTTTTGTTTTTTAAAAAAGGAATGTAGGGCTGGTGAGATGGCTCAGTGGTCTAAAGCACCTACTTAGAACAAGCTTAGCAAAGCACAGGGACCGCGGTT